TGGACAATGATTTTCTTGGAGGAGAGGTATGATAATGCACACTTTCAATGTTTATGAATGGAAATAAATTATCCGCACTATACATCTCATTTCTTGGTTCTCTGTTTCTGGCATTGCAAAAGAATATGTTGATGGACGTGGATTTAACTGACTACCTTTTTGATGGAGAATGATAACTCTAATTCGATGCACATCTTTTATTGTTTATATATGGACATAATTATCTGCAATGTTTCTGGCATTGCAGGAGAATTAGATGAATGGTTTTGGGGCCATCTAATCACATTTCCAATGAGGTATGATTGTGCACAACTTCCATTGATTTTATCTACAATGTTTCTATTTACGGAAGGTTGTTTATGTATAGAAATAAATTGCCATTTCAATTGGGATGCACCATGTCCCAATGCTTTAATTAATTATGATGATTTGATCAACTACACATTTCTTGATCAAGCATGAGATCACGTCCCATTTCAAACACAATTGTTAATTGTTAATTGGGCCTTAACCAAAGGTGTGTTTCAAGTATTTTCAAAGCTAACTTTGTTCTACACAACATTTGTGTCTTCTAAATTCAAAATTTTTAACATTGCAGTCAACACTCAACTGCAACTTAGGTTCTCTGCATTTCATCTCTCTTAATTCTGTTTCTGGCGTTACGGAAGAATTTGATGCCAGATCTGGAGTACTCTCGGGGCCTTTTTGATATTTTCTTTTTGGCCAAACAGGGCTTTTTTGATTTATTATGATACTTCAATTCTTATTTGAAGCACAACTTTCATTGTTTTTCCTTTTTTGGTGAGACACCGGTTAAAAGCAAGTCATTTATGCCTAACAAAAATTAATTACTCAGGTTCCTGGAATGTCAAACCAAGAAATTATGGCTGAGTTAAAGAAGATGAGGGATACCTATGAAGAATCGAAAAGGGAGAATGAAAAGCGCTTAGAAGAATTGGAAAAGGAGAACGAGAAGCTCAAATCTAGGGTTACTGCTATAGAGACTGATAAGGTAAACTTTTCTCTCTTTGGTCT